CCTCAACCCTCAACCCTCAACTCTCAACCCTCAACCGTAATCCCTCAACCCTCGAACCTCGACCCTAAACCCTAAACCCTAAACCCTAAACCCTAAACCCTAAACCCTGAACCCCAATCCTTAAAACTTTAAACCCTAAACCCTAAAGCCCAAACCCTAAACCCTAACCCCGCCTCTAAATTCCACCTCAGCCGAAACGGGGGGAAATCAGGGCTTAATAAATTGTCAAACGCAACCGCTACGCACCAGGACGCAGGGCGAGACGAGACGTGAGGGTCCTTCAGGTCCTTTAGGTTCTTTTAACTCCCACCATAGTCGGACACCGGAACTTATCTTGCAAAAATGTCTGGTGGCCTGCGACCAACCCCTACGTGGGGAGGAATTACGTTTGATTCCCGTTGTGAGGACCGGGTGGGGAATGGGCCCGCCTGAGGGGAATAGGGCTCCAAGGGTGCCCGGTCCTCACGCCCGTCGTGCTTTGGTGCTTTGTAGTACACTCACACCGCATCTCACTCCTGCCTCACAATTTCATAATCGGAGGTCATAACTATAGATTTGTAAAGTCGCTCGTTCCTGGTACAAATTTCAAAACTATTGTCTGTTTATGAAGGAATTGGAGCCGTTTCGAGTTTTAAATGAGCTGAGTTTTATAATTTGTACCACGAAAGCAACTTTACAAATCTATTGGTATGGCCTCCCACTATTGAATTGAGAGAGAGAGAGAGACAACACTTGGAAAAATAGTTGATTATTGATTACACGGACAGCCTGACCACGTACTAAAAAAACCTTGCGGGGGGGGTTGGGCAACAAGGATCTGGAATTCTGTCACGCACTACTCGTTCCACATCGTCCATAGTGGGCTTCGTAGGGATTTTTGGTGAATAATCCACCGTCTCTCCATCACCTTATCCGTAGGACCCCCCCTATGTCCCTCCGGTATTTCCTACCGTAGGGTCGTATGTCTTATCGCTTAGGGGTTGTTCGAAATCCCTTCCAAGTCCGAAGTCCGCTCTGTGGGTTGTAGAAAGGCGGAACCGATCTCTAGACTAACAGGCCCGGGTCGGCCGGCGAATCCCAGCTAATACATCGCGACAAAAAACGGAGACGAAGGTGCGAACACCCCATCTCCGCGAAAGGGGCAGCCCCGCTCCTAGAGCAGGTCATTTTTTAGTTGGGATTCGAAAAGTCGACAACTCCGAAAGTTCTACGTACTTTTGGTCAACTTCGTCCATTGAAAGGAATTCCTGGTACACGTTCAGCGACTAAAAGTACTTAAGTTGCAGTGTTTTCGACCTTTCTGGAATCTGGAGTGCCAACTAACAAGGGACCTGCTCTTTACACACAACCGTTCAAAAGGTTGTTTGTGAAAATAAACAACTGAAACAAAATCCCTTCGAAGTCTGAAACATAATTGAAAGTTGGCTGACCCACGGCCCACCGTCAGTTTTAGGTCCTTTAGTTTTTAATTTCGCCCAACATAGCCCAACGACACGCCCTTCCGTAGAAAGGATCCGCCGAGAAAGCATTTTGCTTAAAGCATTTTGCTTTCGGGTCGCGTTTAGCTCTCCAGTGCAGAGGCTCGTGAAAAAGGGATAAAGGATAATTCTCATGGGGTGTTTGAGTTAGACCAAAAAGGTACAAGCTCGCACACACACCAGAACCCAAGAAGTTTTCCTCCATCTTTGCCAACTATTCCATTTGTCCTTTAGGTGCAGAGGCTCGTGAAGAGGGGATAAAGGGTGGCTCTCTTGGGGTGTCTGAGGCTGCCCAAGTGGGCGCGCGCTCGCCCACGCACCGAACCCAAGTCAGCCTTTATGAGGCTCATGGTATCCCGCGGTTGAAGTGTAAGGGATCCAACCACGGAAACCCCGCAAGGTGAGGTGGGTTGTGTGGGGATTATGTGGGGGATGTGAGGTGAGATCAGCCAGACACCAAAAATGAAAGGAGAGAAAATGTGGTTGTGTAGGGGTTTTCCCTAATGTACACCGGAAAAAAATCATGTGCCCATCATTCAAATTTGACAGAAGATATACTCCCCGGAGACCGGTGTGTCTCCATGTCCCTTTTGGTCACGGAGTCAATCTGCACGTTTGGCCGAGTGGTCTAAGACGCGGTCATTATCTCCTCAGGTTATGAGCCTGTCACGCGAGACCGGAGTTCGAACCCCGGAGTGGGCAAAATTTGGTCCACCGCGCTAAGCTTAATTTCAGCGTTCACCCGGAATGTTTTTGAGTGAAAAACCGATTCCTGGGAAGGGTGGGGGGACATATATGTAGAAAAGGGGGAAAAGGGAGTGAAAAACCACTCGGACGTCGTGACAAATGGATGGACCCCGCTGGGTAGGCGTGAGATCATTGGACCGTGATGACCACTTGGGGGTCGGAGGGGAGACGCCAGACGGGGTCGGAGGGGAGACGCCAGACGCACGTGCCATGTTCATGGTTACTTTGGGTTTCTTGGTTTCATCGTTTGTCCATGCTTGGGCAGAGCGTAATTTCATGACTGCTTCTTTTGTGAGGGAGTAAGCGAGGAGTGCGTTCGTGTTGGTGCGTGTGATTGGGATGATACGAGGATCTACCGGGGAAGCGGAGGTAGAAGATGTTGGCGACAGGAGACTGTTCGGTTTGTTTTGGGATTTAATTGCTTCATCAACGTCTGTTTGCAGGAAGGCGCGGAATCGAGACAGTTTATATGTGGGTGGGTGTGTTTGTGTCAATGTGCCTTGGGGGTATTTTGTTTTAGGAGCGTGGCAAGGAAGACCTTGACCGAAATTTATTTGACCATCATTCAAATTCATGGTCAATGGTTCAAATTGATGGTTCAAATTGATGGTCACGCGTGCATGGAGCGGCCTGGGTGAAAGCAAACATGCGAAAAGCTAACGCCAACGCGCCACTCAGATTGGACGCGACTCCGTACAAACATTTGTAATGGATTTTTTTAGGGCAATTTGACCATCAATTTGCAAAGAAAGCATTTTTTGCTTTCGGATCGCGTTGAGCTCTCCATTGCAGAGGCTCGTGAAGAGGGGATAAAGGGTGGTTCTCTTGGGGTGTTTGAGTTAGACCAAAAAGGCACAGGCTCGCACACACACCGAACCCAAGTCAGCCGCTATGAGGCTCATGGTATCCCACGGTTGAAGTGTAAGGGCTCTAACCTAAATCGGGTTTTGGCCATCAATTTGAATGATGGCAAATGAGTTTTTTCCGGTGTACATTAGGGAAAACCCCTGGTCTCTCCTTTCATCTTCGGTGTCTGGCTGATCTCACCTCACCTGCTCACATGCCCCACACAATCCCCAGAATTATTGTTTTGGTCCTTTAGGTTTGGGGACGTTTTGGGCCCTTGGCAATTTTTGGGGATCGAAGGTTTTAAGTTCAAATTGATGGTCAAAACCCGATTTAGTCAACCGCAGGGGTTGCGAAGTTCGCACCCAAGAAGGTGTTCGGGCAGGGCCTTCACACAAGCTCGCAGAGGCTTGCACAGGCGGCACCGGCGAAGCACTTCCCCTCCTCGCAGAGTTCGGCTCGCTGTGTTTCACACTCCCTGCCGTGGCTTCCCGCGTGGTTGAGGAAGTGCCAGCGACGGGGAGGGGAAGGAGGGGGAGGGACTCCTCTACGGAGCGTGGGTGCAGCTGCGGCGGGCTCTTGCATCTTTTTCGATGTCGGCAGGCGGTTACTCCCGTAACAACATCTGCAAGAAGACTGAGGTCAAGTTCAAGACGCTCCTCTCCAACACCATCCATGAGGTCTCCCCCCGTGCCCTTCCCCGCCGCCCCTTCAGAACCTGCCTCAGAATTCTCCTGTGGGGTAGGAGTTCTCTTGGTGCTGGGCAGTGGCGAGAGAACTTCTACTCCACAGGTGGAGTGGGGGAACCCTCGCGCTCCGGCGCCCATCCCAAGCTTGATGCAGAATGGCGGAGAACGCCATTTCAGGTCTCGCTCCGAACAGAGAGAAGAGACTTTTATCGAACTTGTGACGTCGGACCATACACTTAAGGCGTCCAGAGAGGGCTCGAACTAAGGACCTCAAGTGCTCGAAACTAAATGTACAACCGGACCTACCTAAGCGCCCCGAACCCTGTGTTCCAAATCATCGGGGCGAAGCTTGGAGTGGAGGGGGTGGAGGGGGCGGAGGGGGATCGTCCTTTGATCGCAGAGCAGCTCTGGCGCGTGCTCCCATGCGTCGCTTCTGACGAGACGTCACCTTCAACAATGTTTCATTGTTTCGAACCAACCTCACCCCACACAGCGGACTACGAACCACGCCAGAGTGGAGGAGGGTGTTGATTTTCTTAAAACCTTTCTGATAAGGTTCTTTGACGTTTGAAAACCATTGCCTTGAGGGGAAATTGACTTTTGGCAACACCTTCCAGGAATCTGGCGTGGAAGGGATTTTCGGCCCAAATCGGGCCACCTTTCCGTTACCTTTTCCGTAGGAACCCCCCTATGCCCCTACGGGTTGCCTACCGTAGGGTCCTAGGTCTTATCGCTTAGGGGTTATTCAACATCCCTTCGAAGTCCGCTCTGTGGCTGGAGGCAACTCATGGGCAAATTGATGGTTTTTTAAGTCAACTCCCATACAAATGCACTCGGAATCCGAGTGCATCTGTGGGAGATTGACTGACGATTTGCCCCTGGGTTGCCTCCAGGGCGGAACTTCTCTGCACACCGCTCTACCTGAAAAGAGGCCTTTTGAAGGTTTGGCCAACCCGGGGGGGATGCACATCATTCGAATCGCTGGGTTCTACTCTATTCGATGGTGAGGTCACTGCAGGGGTGTCGTCGGCTTCCAGGAATCGGGGGGGGTAAATGCTGGCCATGTTGGTCTACACGACTACACGAGGCTCGGCCAGATCTCGAAACACTTATAATTTATAAACTCGGTTCAATGAAATTTACTACACAGAAGAGTGTTTATTAGTAATATTAAAAGAAACCGTGTAGTAATTTTGATTGAAACCAAGTTTATAAATTATCAGTGTTTGCCTATGAGATCAAAGTCACGCGTGCATGGACCGGCCTGAGTGGAAGCAAACATGCGGAAAGCTAACGCCAGCGCGCCACTCAGATTGGACGCGACTCCGTACAAAAAAATATAATATGATTTTTTCAGGGCTTTAAAAGTCGTGAATTCGCTTTTAAAATCGTTTCAGGGCTGGTAAGTCCCTCTCCAGCGAGGGACTTAAGTCCCTCGCTGGCGTTGAAGTCCCTTGCTGGCGTTAGCTTGTGGCATGAACAAGTGGACGACCGCAGGCATGTATGAAGCGGCCTGGGTGGAAGGAGACAGATAAGGATGACTGGGATTTCATCTGGGCGGACAAGGACTGGATCCGCATGCATTTCGACGAGTGCCGCCACCACCTTTCTGCCACGGTGATTTTCACGCCAACGTTTTTTTGCCTCTGCTTCAAGGTGAAAGCAGCTCGGGGATGGCAAATCGTTGGAATTGTTGGCGAATCGCGAGAGAGAGAGAGGGAGAGAGAGAGAGAGGGAGGGAGAGAGAGAGAGAGAGAGAGGGTTGAGGGCGGTCAGCAATAGTGAGGTCTCTCCAGGTCAAGTCTGGTCAGCACACGGTGTTCGAGATCTGCCCCGGTTGATCTGGGCACCTCATTATCCCTTAAGTGGCCATAGGGCGAATTTTCACCCTAACTCGCCGTAGGCAGGTCCTAGGGCCCTACCGTAGGGCGTAGGAGCCTACTGGTCACTCAAGGGATATTCATTTGGACCAGGCCTCTGTACAAACTTATCTCAGAAAACGAGTTCTAAAACTCGTTTTCTTAAGTCAACCCCCCTACAAATTCGTCAACTTATTCTTTACTCTCCGCATAAGTTGACAAATTTATAGGGGAATTGACTTAAGAAAACGAGTTTTAGAACTCGTTTTCTGAGATAAAAACGCTCCAGTCCAAAAAGCATCTTCCTGTGCGAGGCCACTCAATCTAAACCGTGTTCTTGCTATCTTGGGGTGGGGTTTCTCCTATATTAAAGCTAAGTCGAAGCCAATACAGAAAAATAAGAGAGGAACCACCGTTAAGATATAATGAAAGGCGGTTCAAATTGAATGGATTTCATGAGGAGCCCAGACTAACAGTTTCATGAGGAGTGCAGATCAATTGGGGCAGAGCTAGACGGTCTTAATACGGGGGAACCTATTTTTCTTTCATTTGATGGCAATCAAAATTACTACACAAATTCTTTAATATTACCAATAAGATCGAATTGTGTAGTAATTTTTGTTACCATCAAATGAAAGAAAAATATGTTTCCCCGGATCAGTCTGGCACGCCCGCGGCCATGGCGCAAGGCGTCGCTCTGCCTCACTCGGGTTGACCGACTTTTCTCAAGTTGCCGACTTTTCTCAAGTTGACATGCTGGGGTTGCGGTACCAATCTGTCAACTGTGGAGCAGAAAAGAGCCCGGGCTCACCAAATTGGGGAGCCCAAATAGTCTGAGACAGAGCTAGGCACCGCACCACCAGCCCTCCGAGGCGGACCAAATCGAGGCTGGGGCATGCGCCAATTCTTCGGGCGGCACCTTCGAAAACGAATGTGCCACCCAAGGAAATGGCTCCAAACAATCGTCGATTTGGTCCCGCCTCGCAGGGCTGGTGGCACCTTTAGTTTGGCAAGCTTCCAGCCCTGATGGGCTTTTTTGGGACCTGAAGCGGATCAAATCTCCTCTACACTCACCCCCTTTTCAGACTTTGAAAAAATTCAGGCCCCGAAAGGGGATTTGATCCGCTTCAGGGCCCAGAAAAGCCATCCAGGGCTGGAAGCTTGCGTAACGACCTTGCGGCAGTCGTATATGAAACCGCGCTCGACCTTCATGGACCTCTAGCTCTGTCTCACACAAATCGGGCTCGTCGATTTGACGAGCACAAACCGCCAAAAGTTGACGAATCCATGTCCAAGCACTCAAAAGTCGCCAAATTTGGCTCCACGGATTTAGTCAACCCGAGTGGGACAGAGCTAGGACCTCCGCAGAACAGCCCAACCTCTCAAAAGGCTTCAGGGAATACTTTTGATTCGGGAATTGGACCCCTTTTCTTAGTATACGTTGTATACTTGGTGATATACGACTCTGGGTAGGTGACCTTTCGACATCTTCTTGTCTCGTGTCGCCTCCCCCGAGATTGTATTGGAAATGGTCACGTTACCCCCGGATATCCGGGGACGA